TATAGGGCAGGGTAGAACTGCCCCAAAGGGTTTGCCAAGGAGGGACTGGTGGATTCAAACTGTCGACCTTTTGGTTAGCAGCCATAGCTCTTAACCACTGCACCACTAGGGATGCTCACTAGTCTCCATCTTTGTTTCTGATCTCTGCTCAATTGAAAATGCTCAGCCTCGCTTGGCAGCAGGGATTGATCAGCAATCAAGTCAGACATGGATCCTGCTCCAATGGATCTCACATCTAGTGGGAGGGACAAACAGAATTCATCAAACAAATAAATGAAACAGTTATACCCTGTGATAAATGCTACCAAGGAAACATGCGAGGGGTAGAGACAGAAATCCACAGAAGGACGGGGTATGCAGACAGGGCCTCCTGAGGAAGTGCCATTTTGACAGAGGATGAAGAAGGAGGCAGCCAAGGAAGAGTGGCAAGAACACTGTCCCAGGAAGAGGAAAAGAAACATGTGAAGTTCTGGAGGGAAAAAAAGATCTCAACGTGTTCTAGACCAGTGGTCTTTAACCAGGGGTGATTTTGTCCCCCCGGGGACATGTGGCAATGTCTGGAGACATTTTAGATTGTCACGACTTGGAGTGGGGGGGCTACTGGCATCTAATAGACAGAGACAAGGGATGCTACTAAACACCCTTCAATACACAGGACAATCCCCACAATAAAGAATTATCTGGCCCAAATGTCAATAGCTGTGAGGTTGAGAAACACTGTTCTAGGCATTGAAAGGAGGCCAAGGTGGCAGGAGCTTGATGAGCAAGAAGGACATTGAAAATAATAGTTATTATTATATTTATAATTTAATTATTATTTTATTATCATTATTATGTAATTACTATTATAACAATGTTGTCATTGTTGTTACTTGCTGTCGAGTTGATTTCGACCCGTAGTAACCTCATGTGACAGAGTAGAACTGCCCCATAGGGGTTTCTAGGCTGTAAGACCTAGACCTAGAGCAGATCACCAGGTCTTTCTCCAGTGGAGCCTCTGGGTGGGTTCAAACCACAACCTTTCAGTTAGTAGCTGAGTGCTTAACCACTGTGCCACCAGGGTTCCTTTTACTATAACAATAGCTAACTTTTATTATCACTTACTAAACCACGAGCTTTTCTAAGAGCTTTGCATAAATTAACTCATCTAGTCCTCCTAACAACCCCATGAAGTAGGTACTATTCGTACCCTCATTTTGCAGATGAAGAAACTGAGGCACAGAGAGGTTACGTCACTTGTCTAGAGTTGTCCAGCTAGAAGGTGGTGGGACCAGGTTTCACACTTTGGTCCCTGACTCCAAGCCCATTGCCCCTTCCACTACACCATAGTTACCATTTTCTAAAAGCATCCCCATTAATGGACCAAGTAGCCACAGGCCTGAGGATGCAAGAGCACGGGGAATTTAAATGCTTTGAGAGCTGTGCCCTTGAGGTTTGGACAAGTCCTGGTAAGGGCCAAAGCAGCGTACACTTTTTGCTCCTGGCAACTCATCTGCCATCTCTCCATACCCTCACATACCACCCCATGCTTGTAAAGGCCTGAGTCTGCAGACTTAGGTGAAGAAGCCAGGAGGCAAGTGGCCTCCCTCCATTAAAAAGAAGGAAAACAACAGGTTGCTGTTTATCCACCTGGACAACCAGGCATATGGATGTGTCTTAGGTCAGGTTCCTTAGAAGCAGAGCCTGAGACAAGGATTCAGTGCACACAGTGTATCAACGGAGGGCTCTCAAGAGAAACTTGTAAGAGAGAGGGATGCAAAAAAGGGAAAGGGGAGGGGCTGAGAAGGACAGAGTCTCAGGTAAAGTCTAGCCTAGGCCTGATCCACAGGGGGCCTCTTGAACATAAACCACACTGCAGAGGTAAGGGAGCCAGACCTCTGTGCCCTATATCAATCAGTCCATTGATTAGGGATTGCCCTAGGGTTAAGAGTAACCTCCAGTTTGGGGAAGCTCCTGCCCGCTGAGGGCACCTCTCTGGAGAAGAGGGCAGCTGTGATCTGCTAGCAGCCAACACTCCCAGCAGCTGGGGGCTGGGTGCACCAGCCCAATAAAGAGGATCTGGGTGGGACACCAATCACATCTACCAAGTATGCGGTTAGTGCCTGGGAATGAAGGAGGTGGCTGGGGATATGACAGCCCATCTTGGGACCTAGACCCTGAGCTGGGAAGGCTCGAATAATTCCAAGTACAGCATGTTGAAGAGTTCTAGTCTCCTTGATTGCTTTTTTGTTTTTCTTACAAACAATCACAAAGGAAGATACTACCCATTGGAAGGTGTCCTTGGAAAACCCCAATAGCCTCTGAGGATTAACCTGACTTAGTCAGGAACCCTAGTGGAGCA